TCTGGAAAAGTTATTTAACACTAGTCTAACTTAATTTACATAGAGTTTAAATAACATAACTATGTTTCTCCTTCCTCACAATTGTGAGAGTTCTAAATTTATTCCCATTTTTCTTAAGTTAATTAAAAATAGCAATTCAAACTTACTTTACTTAAGACAAATAAGTTTAATATCCACAAGTTTTTCTCCTCAAACTTAATTTCAAACATTTTATGAAATTTACAACATGAATTTAAATGTGGGAGATAAAAGTACAAAACTACTTCCGACCACATAAGTTTTTCAACATGATCAACATGTACAACAAAAAATGAACAAATATGTAATAGAAAGTAAACTCTGATAAGCAAGAATATTGAAGAAAAATTTTTGACATGATTCAAAGTATACATAAGTTGAAGTAACTTTTGAATTCACAAGTACGTAATATAATTGTTGTTCAAAGTTATACTAATTATTATTTAGAAATTCTTGTAGGCCCACATTACAAGAAGCATAATTACAAATTAGAGATTACTACTTCTTGTCTAGGGGCTTAATCAGAGCATCACTACATGACAGATATTTGATGGGAACAGTTATAAATTTCACACTAGTTCCTAGTGTGAAGGGAAGATGTATAACATCGGCATTTATGTTAGAGCAAACACACACATAGATAGTGAGACCAGCTATTATGAGATGCTTAAAGAAGTAATTCAATTGTAATATTTGAATAATGTTATGCACAATGTCTATTTATTCAAATTTGAGTGGTTTGATCCAATTATGAACTGAGGAACACAAACACTTACCCCTCATGATATTCCAAAATCAAAATGAATATAAGATATGCAAAGTTCTAACAAATGAAGCTAGTTAGGTTCATGACATTCGATACCCTAATAGAACAAAGGATAAAGTTGGTTGGGCTATAGTTATGAAGAATAAACCAAAAAAAATGATTGAGATGTAAAGTACTATTGAACTCATTCAACAAGAGTAAGGTATGTCAGATTTTCGCATTCAAACTAGTTTAAATGAAGAAATGTTTATCATAGAGAATATCACGGGGAGCTATGTAGAAGTTCCTCATAATATGGATGACAATGATGTGACACTAAAGAAGAAATTTTAAGTTTGTTATTGAGGACGGGCTAGCTTGTCTAATGAAACATAGTAAAAATGGTATGTATGGTTGGATTAGTGCTTTCTTTTACTTTTTTGGTTTTGTTATTTTTTGACATGGTTGCAATATGTGTCTTACTTTGATTTTGTATTTTCCTGTGTTTGCTTTTTCTACTCATGTAATACTTCTGTTATTTTTTTTGTTTATACATATTTACCATATGTTTCCTGTTTTGATCATACATTTTCCTCCTTTTACTTGTGTGTAAAGATCATGATTTTTTTTTGTTAGTACTGATTTTATTAATGTTTTTTTTTTTCTATTACAGCTGACCATAGGTAGTGTTGGCGATCAGCCAGATAAGCAAACATGTGTCTTGAGCAGCTTATGGGCCACTTATAAGAGCAGGAAGAAGGGGTTGATTTCTTCTGCACCTGCTCCCACACCTAATGCCACAACTGCTGCCACAATTACTGCCACATATGTTGTCACACCTGCTGCCACACCTGCTACCACACCTGCTGCAACATCTATTGCCACACTCGAGTATCAACTAATAATTGCACCCACTTCTACATTACCTCCTTACTGCACCCACTTCTACATTACCTCCTTCTTGGGCTCTAACTTCCTCCTCTAAAGAGCCCGACCCCTCGACTTCCGCCCTTGTGACGGTAAATGTTTTGCTGGAGGTAGACTCATAAGTTATCTTTAACATTTGATTATATTCGTTGTTCATTCTTGATATCTTTTGGCGTAAGTAATTTTTCTTCTTCAGATTCGCCCCCTCAAAAGTTGGTCGTGACATGCATCATGGAGATTATTCAGAGCAAATATTATCATTTGTATCTTATCTGGAAGCAGATCCCCAATGCCACTCGAGACATGTGGTTCCGAGAATTCGTGGTAAGATCATTTAATATAAATTAGAATTGTAATTTTAATTTATTTTATTATAATAATCTACATTACATAATTTTTATGTTGCGGAGGACCTTTAGCTGACTGACAGAGCATTACCACTGGATCTGTCAAATTTATGAGATTCGTGATAAGCATTGACTTTATCACATGTACATCGTAGCCCGCAAGAAAGGGGAGCGGCTTGCCTGGATAGGGGAGGAGCTCTATGCTTAGTTGACCATAGTCTGGGCCTTTCATGAGTATCAAAGGAAGGAGTAGACGAACTGAGACAACTGGGCAATTGAGACGGCCAAGGTTGCTGCACTCTACATCGAAGGTTTGATCCCCCACAAAAAACACTACATGAGGCTGGTAAGATTCTTCAAATATTAAAAAATTAAAAATTTATGTAATTATCTGGTGTTAACCATTTTCTTAACATGCACAGGTTAAGGAGTTGTGTCGTGAGCCCTCTGTTGCAGAGTTGCATGTCCGAACTCATTGGCACTAGGAGATGCAGAAGTGGATTTCTGAGCACTCCCGACGGGTGAATGTAAGTAATAAATACATTTTTTTCATTTATTTTGACTTTTAATATTCTAAATAATAATTAAACATTGGTTTTAATTATGTAGGAGGAGTTCGAGCAGCTCCGGGAGAGGCAGTTGGCCTTCTAGACCCCAATATCTGCCAGCAGCAGTGGTAGCTAGTCTACCACTGCGCATTCCAATTTGAAGTTATGGACACAAGTGGCAAGAAAGAAGAAGGGGAGTTTTTCAGCCTTGATGCATAGGGCTGAGCATTGGAGGCTGAGATCTCCAGTGTTCCTTGGGTTCCCCGAGCTCGTCACAGCCGGATCATGAGACACTTGCCTGACATATCACTGTAGTGAATGAAGAGCTCCATCAGTTGTGTGACCAGATGCTCCAAGGCTAGCATAGAGTTGAGAAATTCATAGCACTCATGACGGAGAGATTAGCAGAGTGTGGGAGATTATGGCGGCAAGCGGCCATGGACTTCTGTAGTTGAGGAGGTGGAGGGAGACGTTGATTGGAATTTTGCTTTTTGTTTTTTTTTTTACTTTTTTAGCAATTGTTTGAACTTATATTATGAATTTTTACATCAACTTAGCTTTTAAGAATTGTGACTAATTGTTACAATATATTCATTTTCATTGTTGGTATCTATTTGTGCAATAAATTCTGTGTTCTTATAGTGAATTAGTAAGTTGTTGTAATAGTAGTTATACAAGTCTAACCGGTTTTTTATATATTTTTTTTCTGAGCTACGAGTTTGCATCGGATTTACGACAGCTGTTCTGGCGCAAACCCGACAATTATTTTTAGATGCACTTCGATACGCTCTAACTCAAACTCGACGGAAAGTCAACGCTATTTCATGTTCGATATCGGGCAACACAAATCCGGCGAAAAATATTTACTTCGACCGTAGTAATGTAAATTCAACCTAAATTGCATTACAGTCCCCATTTTACCCACTGAAAGAAGTTGGACGCAAAGTACACGCTAACACCATATTACCGTTAGATTTGCCACTATTTTGCATCAAATTTGTCCAACGCAAAATAGTATAGTTTTTGTAACATAGAAACTATTTCTCTTCCCATAAATAGCTTTAAAAAATAAATAATTAAGTTATGGCAAACAAAAGTGAATTATTTAAAAAGCAAAGCTATGAAAGTTTATTAAACTAACCCGAAGTTATAGTAGAAACGTTCAAATGCTCAACAAATAGCTTTAAAAAATAAATAATTAAGTTATGGCCAAAAAAAGTTAATTATTTAAAAAGCAAAGCTATGAAACTTTATTAAACGAACCCGAAGTTATAGTAGAAACGTTCAAATGCTCAATTTTTGCCATATTTTGTTTCAAACATATTCTATTTTTGAGCATTTTCCTTTTTAATTTTGATCCATCATCTTCTCATCTCCCACAAAACCATATGAGAATATCTTCGCAGTAATTTATTTCTTTCCTTCAAATATTACTGTGCTTAAATCAAGCCGTCAAACACGAGATTCCAACCCAAATTTAACATCACACAAGCCATCAACCAATACTCTTTGCTTTCAAATTCCAATTTCTTTGAACACGTCTAACATATTGAAGGCGAAGTCTACATAAAATACTATTTGGAATATGTAAATCCAATTTTTATATTTAGATGCATATCATTGAAACAATTCATATTTTAATATATAATATTAAAATTACCACTTCTACTTATTTTCTTAAGATAAAATATATATTTTCCATTGTTGTGGTTTATATATAAAATAGAAGAATGATTATTGATAAAGCGAAAAATAAAACGAGAAAATTCACACAAGACAACAGTAACACAGCGGAACATGCAGATTTACGTGGTTAAGTAAATTGCCTACATCTATGGAGTTGCAAAAAATTTTATTGCTTGAGGAATTTACACTAGTTGATCGACTCGACTTACAAGAGGAATCTCTCAGTTCGTTGCTCTATCTTCTTCTTTTTCTACATCGAGATACACCGAAGAAAAAACCAAAGGAGAACAATGTTCTTCTTCTTTCTTTTATCTTCTGTGGTAAGGAACTACTGCTTGCACTTCTCTTCCTCTATCCAAAGGAGAACAATGTTCTTCTTCTTTCTTTTTTCTTCTGTCGTAAGGAACTACTACTTGCACTTCTATTCCTCTATTCCGAAGAAACCTGAAGAAAAACACAAAAGAGTTGTGCTAAATCAGGAGACGGAGGTCCTTCTATTCTTCCTGTTCACCGCTACACTTGAAGAATAACACAAAAGAGTTGTGCTAAATCAGGTGACGGAGGTCCTTCTATTCTTCCTGTTCACCGCTACCGAAAAGGAATACAAAGGGAGCGATTCACGGGATCGGGCTCCAGCTAACATTCCATACATAAATTTATGACACCAATGTGTCATAAATATAAATATGAAAAATTAACTATTAAATATGTAAATACATAAGAGCCTTGTGGTATATACATAAACTTCCAAAAATTATTTTCTAAATCAATTACATAACGATAAGAACAAGAAAATAATCCATCTATACGGCCGGCAAATTTTATAAGATTTATATAAATCACATCAAGCTTTCCTTCCTCCATGTTTCAAAAGCTGAAGGATAAAGACAGCTCTACTTGTCCCAGAAATGGAGAATCGCAGCCGCAGCGTCGATAGCTGGCCGACCAGCCCGGATTCCGACGATCATGAGCAGAATTTCCATAGCATGCAGCCTGAAGCTCCGCAGGCAGCTCCCTTCGCTTCGTCAAACAGCCAAACGCCTCAGGCCACCGCCGGGAACCCGGCGGCTAACTCTTCTGATTCGTATGAAAAGATGCAGCTGCCTTCGCCGCCGGGAAGGCGGCAGAGGATGGCGCAGATCGGACGGCCGTGGACAACGACGGTTTATGATTGTGGATTGGACCGAACAAACGGTAAGTATTTGACTGAAAGTTGGTTTGTTGGTCGGTTCTCATCATTTGGTTCTCCCGTTTTGCGTTTTGGTTGACTCATTTGGAGGTGTTAGTTTTGCCTTGTGTAACTAGTTAACAAAATTTTGGGGTCCAGTTTGGGATAAATTTTGTTTTTGTTTTATTTCTTTATTTATTTTATTTTTTACTTTTTTTTGATTTTAGCAAAGTATATTTGTTTAATTAATTAATACATTTTTGTTAAAAAAATCAAAAGTTAAAAATAATTGTATTTTAATCAAATATAAATATAAAAAAAATATAAGCAAAAAACAAAAGCAAGGTTCCCTTTTGATTTTTTATTTGTATGACATAATTAGTATTTTTTTTAAATACTAAAAATAAATGTATTTTTAGAGCAAAATAATTTGCCTTTGAAAATAAATCATACAAACATTAAAAAAATACAATAGTCAAACATATTATTAAAATAAATAAAATAAAGTAAAATAAAAAATAAAAGTTTTCCCAACAAGTCCTAAGTAATCTCAAATATTTCCTTGTTAATTGTAATCTAAAATATTTTAAGTGCATTGTCATAAAGAGAATATAATGCAAATTGAAGGGAAATTTTGTAAATAGGAATAAGAATGTTTAGGCCTAGAGATGTGCATTCGCCCGGCTCAGTTTGAACGGTTTTAAAATTGGACAAATCGTTCTACAATGAAATCCATAAATCAAACTACTGAACCAATTATAATTTTGGTATAGCCGAACTAGTCAAACCGAAGTTTAATTTGATTTGAACAGTTTAACAAGTTAAACTGAAATGTATGCATTTGATTATTAAAAATTGTAGGATTTTAAAATGCAAACTTTTAAAATGCAAAATCTTAACCTAATGCTCTTTAAAATGCAAATATAGAGAAAAACTTTTAATTAAGTGCTCCCAAATCCCAATAAATTTACCCAAAAAGTTCGTTCTTTGCAAATTTTGAAACAACACTTGAAGAATAACAATATTCATTCAATTAAAAAAACAAGACCCAAAAAAAGACCATTCATTATATAAAAAAACATAGTCGATTAGTCTTTTGAGAATGGATAAAATCAATGCACAGGAAGCCACTCAAACGCATACCTTCGTTGTAGAAGAAGATAGAGAGATCATTGTCAAACACTCAAACCACAGACTAAATTGCGAGCAGAGAATATGTGCTTGAGAGAGCTTAATGTGGTGAGACAGAGAGAGAGTGAAGAAAGTTAGCGGTAGGGGTGTACTTAGTGTGGTGTGAGATAGGCGAAATTAAGAGTTTGAAAAAAAACTAATAGGTGAGATTTGTGTGAACCCAGAGGTCCAATGCTCTTCACGACTCTCTCGCAAGTAAGAAATAAATTTTAGTGATTTAGGGACTCACTATGAAAGATAGAAAATGTACCATTCAGATGAATTGATTAATGTTAATCAAGAAGAAAGACAGGTTATTGGTGGATAACTTGCTTAAAATTTATCTAAATAGATATGTAATTTCACACCTCATGATGAAGAAAACTGATTCATAAAACCAACTCCAACTAATTGTGATTCAGCTAATGATAATGATGATTAATTTTCTCTAAACATGATACTAAATTCAAATTCTTTGAATAAACAAAATGATATATATGTTATATTCTATGCTGTTGCAGCAATCATGACAGCCTTATGCCCCTGTGTTACCTTCGGTCATATTGCCGAAATTGTGGACGAGGGCCAAACAAGTAAGAAAAAATACAAATTTGATTTTTTTTTTCCTTCCTATGTGTAATAACATTTCCTTAATTTAATGTGGTTTTTCTTTTTAATCTCTTAATTAACACTAATGGAAGGCTGCACTGCGGGAAGTTTTATGTACCTCCTCCTGGTTCCTGCTCTGTGTAGCTGCTGGATTGTGGCTTCAATCTACAGAAAAAAGCTGAGGAAAAAATATAGCTTGGTGCAGGCTCCAGCTGGGGACTGGATCCTTCATTTCTTTTGTCCTTTGTGCTCTCTATGCCAGGAATTCAGAGAGCTTAAAAGTAGAGGAATTGACCCTGCCTTAGGTAACAGTCACAACCAGCTATTTATTCTCTATTTAATAAGCCATATGGTTCCCTATTAGAGCCCTCTTGGTTACTACTACATAAAAGAACTTTTTTTTTCATTCCTGAAAAGTGAAATCATCATATTTGAGGGATTTTGAAGTTGTTAGTAGAATTCAAACTAATACTAATTAACAACTAAATAAATCATAAATTTACCTTATTTTTTAATTTTGTATAGGTTGGATGGGTTATCTTGCCAAGCAACGAGAAGAAACACTCACCATACCCCCAAAGAGCCAGGTCATGAGTATTTGAAGAAGATTAATATTACACTTTCAAAATTTCCTGCACAAAAGTCTCAAATCCTGTATTAGGATGCAAAGAAGTTTGTTTTTTTACTGTTACAAATTGAATATTTGGTTTAATTCATATTTTCATTTATCTTCAAACTATATTTGTTTGAAGCAGCAGAAATAAGGTTTGCAGCTTTTAGTTCTGCAAAAAAATGTTCTGGAATTCAATGCTTTCAAATTTTTTCTGCTTGTGTTCTACATCGAATAAATAGCTGGGATTCAAAACTATGAAGTATATATAGTTAGTTAATATTTTTAAATATAAACCCATAGATTATTAAGATTTTGTTTTTCTTAAAGATATTTTTTAGTTATTCACATGAGCTAGATGGGGAGAGTTTTACAAAGGGTTTAATAGAATTGTAACTATAATTTTATGGAAGCAAAGATCAAGGAGAATTCTCAATAGGATTATAAGTGTTAAACTTCAGAAATGGTTTAATTAGAAAGAAATTTTCAGTTGGAAGAATATAATTGATTTGTCATCAGCAATTTTCTTATCAAGCATAAATTTCAATGTATTTTCTTATAAAAATTTTTAAAATTCAAATTTAAGATCATTTGGGTCTTGATTTTAGCAAGTTTATAGTCGAATAGACTGTCTCGACAAGACATACCAATCATATAGAAGTAGGGTCAATTCAGATCCAATCAAGCCCAGATCAAATCGTTTAAGTACATTTGGAGGTTTTGGATGAAAGAATGGTCAATTCAGATCCAATCAAGCCCAGATCCTGTCCCAAAAAAATGGTCAATGAACGCCAAATTTGACATATTTACAGTCAAATCAAGCATCTCGACGGGAGAAATCCAACAATCCTAATATTGCTAAATTTTGAGATCATTAGGAGCTCAAATCATTAAATAAATCCCTTATGATCAAGTGAAATCAATATTGGTCATCCAATCAGATGGTTGGGAAAGTTATTCTTCGAATGCCCAAAATGTCCTTCTCTCGTAGGCTATAAATAGACCTCCTCTCTTCACTTGAGAGATGAAGAAGAAAAAGTGAAATTCCATAGTCTTTTTTGAAGAGAAGTTCCAATGATAATCACTAGACTTTGTAGCCACCAATCACTGTAGAATGTGGCCCGTCGGTTACCGTCAACCACTGCCGACCGTCCCGATTGCCACCACCGACTTTCACCACCAACCACCGGTTGTCGATGACTCGTGCTTGAAAATGTTGTGTCACAAATACAATTGTAACGTATTAAAGACTTGATGATAATTTTCGGTTTCTGTAGTCGTCAACCACCATCTACCATCCTGGATTGTCAACACCTATTGCCACATACGATCGATCATCGACAACCACTACTTACGAACGTCCTAGCCAGAATATGATGGTTGTTTCTAAAACTTTTGTTTTTATTTACACTATATATAAACTATTACACTGTTCGATGTAAAATTACAACCTTGTTCTTCCTGAAAGAAGGGGTACATACATCAACCATGGCATTTGTGACCAATTGAAGATAGTGCAGCTTCTAACCACAGTCTTTATGGCCAACAACTACCTATGTAATTGTCAAGTACAACTTTAGTGGCTGGCTACTACTTTTACAACTTCCGAGTAGGACCTATGTGAGCAACTGAGGATATTGCAGTCACCAACTATGGCTTATATGGCCAAATACTATTATTACAGATTCCAACTATAGTCTTTGTAGCCAAGAATGTTACTATAACTTTCAACTGACATCTATGATCAACTGATGCTTCAAAGTATTGCTTATAGGGTCAATTAATGAAGTTGTGATCACTAACAACGACCTCTATGGCTAACTACCGATATTACAATCACAAACTTCAACCTTTATGGGCAATTTTGGCCCTTCTAGCAATCAATTAAAGCTTTTTTGACTAACTATTATTGTTACAACTTCCAACTATGGCCTCTCTGGTCAACTACAACATTTATAGCAACTAAATATTGGTTTTATAGCTAACTATTACTATTAAAAATAAGAACCACATCTGTAGTAGCTCAAATATAGTTTTTATAGCTAAACTATGGTTATGCATTTGTGATTATTAGCTTTATAATTCCACCTTCTCTAATTCAAGAAAAGAGTGAACCTAGGTACTTATAATTATATAACGGATTACTTTGACTATGCTAGGCCTAGTAAAATTTTCCCTTTCCAAGGTTATTTCCATGTAAAAATTGATGGTGTCTACTTCTATTATTTTTGTTATATCTATGTATGTATTGCATTTTTATATAACATAATGACGTTCAATTATCACTCTACTGCTATGAATCTCCTGGCACACAACAATAATATTAAGCCTTAACAAGTACATTACTCTAGACTTTTGCATGAAAATATTTTAGTAAGATTTGCATCCATACATACATACATACATACATACATACATATATATATATATATATATATATCTTCTTTTTCAATGTACATTTTGAAAATGCTCAAAATGAAAAAAAAAGTACTCGAAGAAGTTTGGAGCTTATTCTCAAAAAAATTATGTGGATTGGACAACACCAACAAATTCACTGGATGAAATGGGATAAGTTATGCCTTCCCTTGTCTTCAGGGGGCTTGGGTTTCAAATCTTTCCAATAGCTTCACCAAATTTTCTTCTGTAAACTCTAAATTAAATTCAGGGCACATCTTCCATTTAGGTTGAGTACATGAAATTGAAGTATTGTAAGTTCACATGCCCTATAACTACTAAAAGGAAACCTGATGATTCTAAAACTTGGACTGAATTGTTGAAAGTTAGAACTCATGCTGAGGATCTAATTATTTGGGAGATAGGGGATGGGAAGATTGATTTTTGGCTGGATAATTAGTTATTTGATGGCCCCCTCAATGCCACTTTTGTTGACCCTGAAGGGTGTCTCCCTTTACCTATACATAAATGTTGGCAGGATCATCAATGGAACCAAACTTTACTGGGAAATTTGGTGAGTAGAGAGAAGCATCTTCAAATTTCTCAAACTCCTATTACTCCACATATGCCTGACAGGATCATTACAAAGAACCCAAATCATATCTCCTTCACTAAATTTGCTTATTACCAATTGAGTTGTTGGTCTGTACAGGATTGGGCTAAACCCATTTGAGTCAAATATCTGATCCCATCTGTTCCTTTGTTTGCTTCGAGATGTTTTCACAAGATCATTCCCACTGATGACATCCTTAAACTTAAGGATTAAGGGGACCTTCCTGGTGCTCTCTTTGCCATTGTGAGGAGGAGTCCTTTTCTTTCACTGTCATATTGTCAAATCAGTTTGGATACATATTATAGCACAACTTCACTTACCACTGTCCTATTCTACCTATCAAAACTTACTTGATTGTTGGAGAACTTGGAAGGAGATTCAGGCTAAAGTTATTCCATGCACAATCATTTGGTTCATCTGGATGACCAGAAAAAGAAACAAACATGAAGGGGCTACTGGTACACCTACTTTGTTCAGCACCAACTGCTGGAAATATATTTTCAAGATCACTACAACAATGGGTTATAAGTTGCAGAACAAAGCTTCCATACTTTTAAATGATTTGGTTCCAGCTAAGCCAACTCCCTTACATATAAATAAAATCCTCTGAAGGAAACCTTTGTAGCCTTGGATAAAAATTAAAACCAATGGAAGTTTCAAAAAGTCTTTGGCTGGCATGGGGGTATTTTTCTGAAATTACACTGATAAATGTCTTCTCTTTTTTCACTCACCTATTATAGTTATGAATGCTTTACATGTTGTAACACTGAGTGTGTTTTGGCCACTCAAAATTGCTACTGTCATGGGTTGGAATTATCTACATTTTGAACTGGATTCTTATTGGCTGGTTGAGCTCCTTAAGGGGTGTCACCCTCCTCCCTGGTTCATTGCTTCCTTAATCAAGCAGATAAGGGTCTTGTCCTCTCACCACAACCTGCAGATCCTCTAGAGCTACATTCCTAGAGAAGGAAATAGATGTGCAAACAGGTTAGCTAAAAGAGGTGTTATCTCCCCTTTCCCCAATTTGAATGTTTCTCCTCCTTGTGTTCTTGCTTTTTTGATAAGGGGGATATTTGTTCCTTTATATTTATATTTATACACACACACACACACACCATCTTCACAATGAATGAAAATGAGTTCCTCAATTTTTCAAAATTAAGGAAATGATATTTTTGATGTAATATGAAAGATTTGTGTAGTATAACTTTAAGAAGCAATGTTTAGGTGTAAGATATGTAAATGCATAGAAATTGGGTGGTATGTATGTATATGCCCAAATTTTTTAGTATGGAATTGAAACTTCTTAGCATCACTAGTTATTGAAGCTGATAATTTTTTTAAATGGGGTTGAGAAGAATTAGATTTTGATCTGATTTAACCTAGTTGGATGTCAGTTCAAACAAAGTCTTTCAGATTTGATTTAGGTTTGGGTAGGTTCAAGCTATGGTTTGTCAGGAGCTAAGCATTATCTGGTTGACTACTTTATTCATGATCCACATCTAAAATTGTGTGGAGCAAACCTTTCAAGCACACTCATTTAATAATCCACTAGTTACAAAAATATTCAAGTTTATTCAATTAACTAATTTCCTAATAATGAAAGAACTCTAATATTGTTAAGCCACAAGTATCTCTTCAAGTGATCAATTTATTTATCGCCCTATGCAAATTTTGATTGATCTCAATCTTACTCGAGTTGATCCATTCCCCTTTGAATTTGAATTGGATAATGACAGGTGATTGTGCGTTGGGAGTATTGTACCAAAAAACACTTTAAAGCATGAAGATGCAACCATTTTAAGTAGTAGAGAATAAGTATTGTATTGTTCTACGAAGATTGTGTGATAATCATTGAATTCATATGTTAGGTAATATTTGGAGTAATGAAATAGAGTTGTGAGCTAAAAATAGCCTTTGCCTTTGAATAACAAAAAAATAACTAAATTGTCAAAAAAAGGTTGTAACTTGATTGGAGAAAATAAGTACTAGGGATTATTTCACTTATAATG